TGTTTCGTTTCTCCAGTTGCATACCCGGTTAGCGATTCGGCTTGTTCGACATGGATCCGGACTATCTTCGATGTATACCAGTTCTGCATTTTTTGCCGCAGCATTCACATCTGGGAGCCTTCGAGCCTAAAAGTAACTGTATTATCCAAATTGTTTAAGCATTCGAAGAAAGGAGAATCTTAGCAATCGCAGTGGGAATGGAAGATAGAGCGAGTGAGTTTTTGGAAGAAAAAACCCAGGTAAACGATTACTTTATGTGATAAGCCCTGTGGAAAATACAGATCAGGAGATCCCTAAGAAATTTTACATGCAGTTAAAAAAAGGGGAAATTTTATTTGAGTTTTCGCAGCGGTTTCAGCTAAAATTACTACATCGCTCGCGAGGTAAATTTGAATTTTAAAAATTTTCATTAATCTACGTTTTCTCTAAGATTTCCATCACTAGCTTGTTGGTATCCATGACAAGCTTTCATTACTCTGTTTTTACAAAAGCACAAATAGTTTGAAGCTATCGTAAGTGCTGTAAGACCTTCTGCAGTTTGTTGGTGACGTGCTTGATGATAGAGGACAGCGGAGCAGTCTTCTTCCAGCACGTTTTCTGCTCACAGCTTCCGCTAATACCATGGCATTTACAAGAAGAAATAAGCGTCTTTTTCACTGCCTGAAATCATTATAAAACAGCTGAGAATATAATCTCGCTAAGACGTATCGCCTGACTTATTTTTGTTCACTAAAGTGGTCCTAATTTTTGAAAAGGATGAGAACAATGATCGACAATTTTGCATTTGCTAGAAAGAATTCTTAAAATACCTATTGGATCAAAATTAGTACTAAGAAGCATGTCAGCTTGCACTGGAAGCTAATAGTTCAATCAGCGGGACAACTAAATGTCCTAGGACTCATTGATTTTTGATGGTAAATACAGGTACTGACATACGCCGAAGTCTCAACATCAGCTAATTTCTAAACAGCCATCGAGAGATGGAGCCGACGGCAGCCTTACTAGTGCTGCTGTCAGTTGCTACCACTGAGGTTCGCTCCGAATTTGGCCAGGGTTTTGGTTTTTGAGTGCAAAGGAGAAATAGCAAACTGCTTTCTGGGGAAATATGCCAAACAAATTGTAAACGTTAAGCTACAAAAATAACCCAGGCTGA